ATGTGTTAGGGATAGTCTAGATAAGACTGAGAGCAGGAGGACACATCTTATCACTTGATATTCCAGACTTGTATTTCTATACTTAACTGTACTTGTAAACTATCTTAAGTAAGACTAGTTGCAGTGAAAAACATCCATTAATTTCATTAAAATTATCAAAAAAGGTATCACATTATTATATTGGCTCCCTATTAGTCATTTCTTGCCGTGCACATGTTAACTTCAGCATGTTGCATCTTGGTCTGTAAATCTGCCATGACCGGATAACTCTGAAAATAGTTCTTGGATGTTTTCCTTGCTCAAGTTGCTCAGTTAACACTATTTAAAAGGTGGATTATGAATCATTTAACCTTTTTCTAAGCTTATGAATAAGACCAAAATAATATTTGCTTACTTCCATTAGATATATTATAAAAAAATATTTTTAAAAGCTAAAATGTCATAAAAAGCCAAATTACTATAGTTTTATGAACATATAGAGAGTTACACCTGCCACCTGGCTTCAGCCAGAACTCCTTTTACCACCTGCAAACCTCGGTGGAGAAGATATGGTTTAACACCAGCCTTACATGCTGTATTGGAGTCAATTAAAAGACTACCCGGCTTGCATTGCTAAAAGGTATTTGGACACCCAATTATGCTTGCAAATATCTACCACCCCAAAATTGCAAGTACAGTTGTTTTACTCTGTAGACTATGAGTGTAGTAAGAAATAAGTGGTTGAAAATTTGAAAAACTGATATTCTCATTAATGTCAATATCCACCCCTTTATTCGAAATCCCCTGCAGGACTTCCTACTGAAAGCTACAAATGTTCATCTATGCTGGGTACTCTTTTACTTTTCATCTGCTTCTACAAAATGCTTAGTTCTGCTCAGCAAAGCACCAGCATAACCACTAACTCAAGACTGGGCATCCGCGTGGTTACATTACGATTTGGTTCTGCTCTTTTCAAATAATACATGCTAAAAATTAGCTATGTCCTGTAACTTCATGTTCTAAACCATTAATACATATTCTTAAACAAAACTTTCTCAACAGATACCAACATGCTCCATAAACCACAGAAAAGCCAACTCAGTGGGAAGGAGCATGACTTTTGCAGTGATACAAGCAATTAATCTGACTGTCCCTGTTAAGAACATGGTCTGTCATTCATAAGAGTTCAGCTCAACTTCGTGAGTCAGTAGGGAGCTAGCACAGGGTTGTGCCATCAAGTTATAGCCCTCAGACCTTCCTGACTTGGAAACAAGGGAGTGGGAACTTGGAAACATGTTCATGATGCTAAACCACTGTATTAAATTTGTATTGTTTGCATAACACAAGGTGTTTATTGCTCAGGGTAAAGAATTACCTTCCTTCTATTGGGAACTGTTCTCCTATAGCACAAATGTGTACAGAGAGGGTATAATCTGTAGCCAGTCTCAGGTCGTCAATAAACCAGAAGGGCAATAATTTTCTTCTGAAAAGAAAATAGAGGGACTATTCCTTAAATAACAACTCAAGCTTCAGGAAAACAAAAAGTTAAAATTTTCAAAGAAGCTCAACCTTCAGGACAAACACGCTGCTAAACAGGGAAATATAGCATACAAGTGAAAAGGTTGGACCTCTGAGCAGCAGCTACAATTAGGTCAAGCTGACCTATGCACCCAGTAACGTAGCCTGTATGTCAGTCATATTTCTCTTCAAATGTCAAAGGCTTTTGTTTGAAGAAACTACAATGTTATTGAAAGGGCATTAAGGCGACCATGACAAGCCTGGACATGCTGGATTCACACAAACATCACCATGTTGGTATGTGCTATATTCTGCTATTAAAGGTACAGGGAATTCCTTGATGAAAGCCAAAATTTTTTACCTTATGGCACATCCTGAAATAGTCCACTGACGAGGACGTAGTTACCAAGTGCTAAGATTCAGTGGAAAATGAGTGAATGCGATTTCTTGGTGTCTAATACCACAGAACAGACTACAGAAAAGATTATCCAGTCTGACTGAAACTATGGTCCTAATGCAACAGCACTTCCAATATTCTGATGAAGTTAAATTTCTATTCTAGGCAGTGCACTGCAACTAAGACAGCTAGACTGTAAGTTAGATATCATTTAATCTTCCCACTTTCTCTGGTTTTCAGTCAGCAGCAACCTCTGCTTGACACTCGTGTTTCCAGCCACTCAGAGATTTGTTAGTGCTACAAACAAAGCAGGGAGTAAATAGTGGCAGAATTGTCATTACCACTATTGTCCCACAGCAAAAGGTCCTGCTGTCACTGTTAATGTTTGCAGAAAAGAGCAAATCCAGAAGATGAACCCAATTTTGGAGCAACACTGGCCTCAGGTGGACTAGAGACCATACCAGAAAGGAGCCATCTATGAATAATGGCCATTGACACAACTGAGAGATTTGGTTCCTACGTGCAAGAAGTGATAGCCCTCAGGTATTTCACAATTCTTGCTAGGTATTACTCTATGACCTTCCATTTTATAGGCTGACTTTTGCTATCTAGATAATTAAAGAGAGAGAAGCTGGCTCTGCACTCCATGGAGTTAGTGCTTTATTACCTCAACACCAGAAAGAAAGAAAAGCAAAAATCCAAAAATGAAATGTCATCAGTTTCTCAAGGAATAAAACGCTGCTGTAGGAGTTCAGTTCAGCCACCCACGCAGAAACATCCAGTGCCCTGTCCATTGGGCCTCCAGCTCCTGCTGGAGGAGGATCACAGTATGGATCACATGAAAGCCGCACGTCTCATCTTCCAGCCAGGTAGGGATGTCTTGGGGCTCAAGGACATCTCAAATGGTCCCAGGCACTTATGTTTAGGCAAGAGAATCGAGTCCAAAGTTTGTGCTTCTCTAGACTAGCTGATAAGCCCCCTTGATGGGATACTCAGCTATGCTGCACAACAAAATCAAGGAAAAGGACTTCCTCAGTCCTTCTCCATGATAGTTCTTTTCAAAATGCCCCTCTTCTCACTTTTCAGAAATTCAAGTTAACCCCATCATCCCTGCTTGAATGGGAGCACCCGCACGCATTTTCTTCTTTGATGTACAGAAAGAGAGGACACCACTATCTTGAAACAAGACCAAGGTGAAAGAATAAGGAGTAAAGAGAGATTATTTTAAAGTCAAAATACAACATTCACGTTGCTAACACCATGAAGTTACTAACAGACAAAATATACTCAATTGCTGCAACTTTTGGTACATGTATGCAGGACTACAAGCAGAGATACGAACTAGAAACAGCACCATAGATATCACTTTGCCTATATAATTAATGTATTTTTAGCAACGACCATGATCCAGTCACAGAAATAGGGCAGCTGCCGCTTCAAAGACTCATACAGTGTAAGTACTAGGAAGATAAAGAAAAGGCCAAGTGCCCTCACACATGGCTCTTGTAGCCCACTTCTACAGAAATCAGTAGCAAAACCCCTTTGTGGCAGTACGCATGGACCCAGAACGATTCACGACGCAGCAACTAGTAGATAACTCCCTCTCCTGAAGGATACACACCTTTTTAGAAGAGTAGCTGCAGTTATATTGAAATTCAAGATAAATGGCTGATGGTTTATGGTTTGTCTTATGCAGAATAAGACTAAGTAACCTGATAGCCATTTCTGGTTTGTTTGTTTTTTTAATTTCTCAACAATTTAAATTATCTATCTTTATGCAAAAATTAGAAAAGCAATCACAAAGGATTGTCACATAGAGAAGGGAGACATGAAGGGGGAATAACATCAAGTTTTCGTCTACAGGAAGACATGACACAAAGGAAAAATATTTAAACCCTAACTTTCTTAATGTATTCAAAAGAATCTCAAAATTCTGTTGACACTTTATGGAAGCGATCTCCTTTATCCCACAAGTAAATGTAGGATAACTTTTTCACTAATTCAGTTTTCCAAGAAATCCAACATTTATAACAGAAACCAAATGAAGTATTAGGAGAGTCCACCAAGCCATTTGATCTCCCCTAGCTCATACAAGATAATCAGCATCTCACACCAATGCAAAGGTTATAGTGTGCTCTTGCTTAAATAAACTAAATTAATGAAATACAGACATTGCTGAAAACGTTTCTCACTATGTGTGGTAACAAAATCTCTTATCCTGTTTTCAAAGCACCTGCGGAACTGAGGAACAGATTCTGACAATCTTATTTATGTTGAAAAGTGACAAACTTTACAACACTTCTGATGAAATAACAGAGATTTACGCTCACAGTGTATGGTCCTATTCAAGGAAAACAAGAACTTGAAAATTTCTCTCTTATGTAGTTAAAAAGGAGGAACTGTCTGTGTTACGGCCTAATAAATACAGAGAAAGGTTGAATACAAGAGTTTTATGAAGGGAAATATAGTGCTTATTTAAGAACTCAGGTGTTTATGGTTTAGAAATTTAAGTAATACTTTACAAGGTTAGAGAAAGTGTGAAAGTCCCTTCAGTAATTTAAACCTAACTTGAAATTAATGAAAAATACATGTTAAAATTCTCACAGAAATACATTATCTAAATATTGAAAGAAATAAAAGAAAGATCTCTTTCAGGGAAGAGTATTTGTGGAAATTTTATTGCCATTATTTAAACTATATAGTTTTCTCTGTAGCATTAATAACTATCAGTTTTGAGCTATTAGCTACTAGATAGATAGTGAAACACAGGGATAGCTGAACTAGCTTAACTAAACCAGTTCAAGTAGTAATAGTCCAGCTGTAACAGCAGGGAGATACCACAGAATAAATGAATTGCAGCAACAACCAGAATACTTTCACCATACTCATGCTTCCACTTGAAATGAAGGAATTCCAGGCATCTCCACACAACACAAACCATCCCTTTCTATGCCTTAAGATGTAAGTGAACGGCTTGCCCCCCTGCAGCACACAGGCAGCAGAGCTGGGAATAAAGCAGCAGGTAGCTGTATTTTCCTGATTTGGAGGACACATAGATTGATTTGGGGTTTAAAACTACTGTATTCTTAGAAGAATAAGCTCTTACCTTTACAAACATGAAAATCTCATGATCTTCCTGAAAGTTGTCAATTTCTCCAAAGTTATTGTTAAGGGGGAACTTGATGGAAGTTGAAGAGTTGGAAGAAGTGCTCTGGCTCCGACGCAACTGGAAATCCGGAAGAAAATGCATGTTGCTCTCAAACATCATGCCCTCTACGTGTTTATCTTCCAAAGTTGGGCTCATCAGATCCATCTCCTGGTATGGGTGGTCTTCTTCAGCACCATGGTGAGATGAAGAAGAACCATCCTCCCCATCAGCCCCATGCTGAGAGGCCACAGAATTACTACAGCTACCTTCTGAGCCCTCTTGACTACTATCCATGTTCTCTGGGATAGTAGTGATTGAAGGAGATGCTGGATCTTCATGGACATGATCATAAAGATTATCCCCTTTGTCCTCCTCAGAGTCTGGAATCCCATAGATATTGGTGGTGTTAACATTTTGATAAACATTGGTAAAGACCTGATCTGCCATGACTGCTGGCTGGTGAGTTTTGCCTGCCGTCTGGTACCTTAAAAGACTAGAATTAAAGTGAGATGTTGACAGACAAATGCTCTTTAGGAGGAAGCAGAGTCTGTGGTATGCTTTCTGAATGCTCTGCTACACACGGCAGATCTCCAACAATCATTTACTGAGAGCTTTAAATCAACAACTACACTTCCACTGAAGTAAAAGATAGGGCTGTCTCACTTTTAACCCCTTTGTCGATCTGACTGCTGGTAACTATATCTTGGGAACTGTAATCACTTTCTGTTCTTCCACATATAGCCTGGCCAAGTATAGTGAAAAACAGCTTAAGGACCTATCAGTACTAGAAAGCTTCTAAAGTACTAGAAAGATAGGTATTCTTTCACAGGAAGCCAGAAAGTTTTACTGGAAATCTTATGTACATTTTGTGTAAAGAGGTAGAAATGCAGACTTTACCCATTTACTGATATTTTCAACACACAAAAGCCTAGCTTCAAGGAAAAGCAAGGCAAAACTGCCTCAACAACACAAGCAATCTGCAACATTTCACTGGTTACTTACACCACCATCAACAAATGATGATTTTATAAAAAAACTACAAATAAAAAAAAATTATATAGTGGTATATCCATGAGAAAAAGGCATCAGACTTGAACTCTTTCCAGTTTTACCACTGGTTCACTTTAGGACCTTGAACCAGTCACTTCACATCCAGCAACTTCATCCTCTCGTCTATAAACTAGGGCCAAAACTGTAAGAAGTCTTGTGAGCTGCCTTGGAATCTAGGAAAAGAAAGCACTGAATAAGCATTAACTATTATTATGTATACTTAATATATCATAGAATCATAGAATCCTTTAGGTTGGAAGTGCCACAATCTTTTAAATACTTCCAGGGATGGGGATTCAACCACTTCCCACTTCCGCCTGGTCCAATGCTTGACAACCCTTTCGGGGAAGAAATTTTTCCTCATGTCCAATCTAAACCTCCCCTGGCGCAACTTGAGGCCATTTCCTCTCGTCCTATCGCTTGTTACTTGGGAGAAGAGAGC